ACACCTTAAATCTTTAATAAGCTATCTAAAGAAATTTAAATGATACTTCTAACTCAATTATATCGTAATAAGATATCTAAAATTAAAAGGAGTGCATTTGCCCAAAATGCCCCATTTTTTCACATGCTCATAACTCACACGATGTTTGGAGTTGGAGGCTTAAATTTTACTTTTTCTTAGTAATAATATATGCGACATTTTAGAAAAATGTAAAAAGGTGATTATCCTCTCATAATAATCGGAAGTTTATATTAGATTAATACATATTTTTACAAATTTTTCCAAAAATAACCAATTTTTATAAAAATAAGTAAATTATATGTAAAAAAATAAACCAATCATAAAAATAACATCCCTTTTATTTATGTTAAAAAAATAAACATAAAAAAATCCCTAAGAAAACTAAGATAAATAATATACCCCTTGAAAGAAGCAATAACTAATTATATCTTATTCAAGCCAGATTCTAGGTTTATTTGAGGTGGGGGGGGCACTGCCCCAAATTTTTTTTTTGCCTACTAAATATTTTTTATATTATCTTGATAAATTTTTTAAAAATAGAAATGTAATGGAAAATAAATAACTGTTGTTCAAACGACTTTCGGTTTAAAAACTATTTATTCATGTCTGCTTAAATACCTAACAGAGCCAACGCACCTCATATTGTAATGAGAATATATAAATGTAGTTAGCCAAGATTCAGAATATGGAAAATGAGCATGAGCAAAATGTATAGGTTAGATTTTTAAGTTATCCTTATTGCAAATATTTTACAACTGATATCATGTATCACACATAACATCACTCACAAGTCTGTTAATGGAAGAAGATTTTCTTTAAAGTTTTATAAATATGTATAGGTTGAATAATTAATTAAAGCTGATGCAGTTTTTTGTCCTCCTTGTAAGATATATAACTTAAAGAATGGTGAATCAATATGCCAAAACTGGTTTTTCAATTGAAAGAAAGTTCTTGTGTAAAGAGGCATTGAGAAATATTATAATTGCAGAATATATAGAAGAGAATAAGACTAAAAGATCTTTCCAATTTTTTTGTATAAACTAATTAGCATATTTTTACAAGATAGCTAATTTAATTTTCTAACCCTTGTTGGCAACCAATATTACTGAAGAGAGATTAATATATGAAATTGAGATTATTTAAAAAATATTTGTTAAAAGTTTAGAAAATTTAAAAGATTGTGTTAAATCAGATTTTGCCAAATTTCTATACACATATAAAATTGCATTTCCAAATGCTCTTCAAATATTCTGTATCAGTTAAGATCATCCCCATAGAGTTGTGAATCAACATTTCATCATTAAAGAGAATTATTATATAAGAACGTTCTATTGTGTTTTATTAGGACATGGAAAAACAAAACCGATTAATTTTGGAAATGTTTTCAAGGCATTTAAAAATATATCTCAACCAAAATTATAGTTAATGCTTTATTTTTGTTAATTTTACACTGCTCAATTATTTACATAATTCCAATTGTAATATAGTTATAAATATTTTCTAAATTACATATTTTATAATTGAATCATATTGTTTAATTGTGCTTGTATATAAACAATATCAACGTTATAATATAATATTTGTAATATCATTAAATCAACTTATTTCTTTCCAGCCATAAGTCAATTCTTATCTTCCATCTATTAACATATTTGATCATTGTATATCTTTATATGGTTTTTTCAAGTAAAATAGTATATTTCAATTTTATGCTCAAATAACATAAATATTCGTTCTATGGTGTCGAAATTTTTTTTACTGCCCCAACCCCATTTTTGTCTACCCCCCCCCCCTTAAATGAGTGAAGCTCGAATTGGGTCTGATTTTACTAGTAGCTAACCCGTCAAGAGTGACGAGCCAGTCACTATTTCTCCTTCGTTTGACGTGACTTTTTACCTCTTTATTTGTAAAATATTGTCAGATGATGGTTTTGCATATCTTATTTTAGATTGTATAGCTTGTTGATGATTTATTATTGCCCTACACAATTATTTGTTCATATTGAAGGTATTAATATACTGTATTAACGTTTAAATAATGGAAAATTTGGGAACCACCTCTCATCAATAAAACTAAAATTTTGGCGAATACTTTATATATATCTAAAACGAATCATTACGAATAACAAAATAATAAGATTCGAATATGAATAAGGAAAATATATCATTTGTCTAATAATTTTTTTATCCAATATTAGAATATAATCGTATAGTTTAAAATTTTTCATATTATTCAAAATAAATATTCGAAACAAATCGTAAATATTAAAACTTATTTCTAAATATAAAATTATTTGTAAGTATTAAACTTTTTAAATTTTAATTTTATCTACAATCGTTAGCCCTTTTTAAGTATTTTCTCCTGCCTTTCTTTAATCTGTATCAATTTCTCTAAATCATCTTGTTCATAACTTCATCCGAATCCGAACTAGTATCAACAAATAAAATGGGCGTGAATATGGTTTTAATCTGACTATAAATTAACTAGATGCCTTTTTGCACAAATCTTATTATTTATCACTAAGTAATCTATAATATTTAAGGATTTATACCGTTTATATTTAAATAAATTGAAGATATTAAAAAAATTATCATTTAAATTATTAATATTTGTATTTTTAATTATACAAATATCTTAATATATGATTTAAAATATAAAATTAACTGAAACCGATTGAGACCGGGTTCAAAAAAATTTCCAAATTTTGGGTTTTTATAAAATTTAAAAAAAGGATTAGCAATACGGGTTCAAAATTTTTGGGTCCGGTTCGATCCCCTGGTTCAAGACCAAAAATTAAGATTTTTAAAATACATTATATATTAGATTTCATCCAAAATATCTCTGAGATGCTGAGTCCTTCAGTTGAACTACTATCCTCCTATCAAACCATTTACATATAAGCAAGTCATTCCCGTATTAATTATACAATCTCCTCCACCTATTTTTGTATAAGCAGTTGTATTTTTTTCGGGATGCATCGATACCACTCTTTGGAAGACCTGATTCAATATTAAATTGATATCGGTTGATTACCGATCCGATATCATATTTGATTTTGTATCCTGTAAACATACTAATCGTTTCGTTTAATGCATACATCTACTCATCTCATATACTTTTTAATAACATCTATAATTTAACTATATTCATGAATCAAAAAGTATATAAAATATTTTTAATGACAAATACTTATTTATAAAATAAAATTAATCTATTTACATAATAAATATAAACAAATATATTACAAATTTGAAATAAATATTTAAATTAATAATTAAAATGGATTTTGATCCTATTTATAAAAATAAATGGTTTTTTGATATAACTTTAAAAAATTTTTTAATAACATCTTATTTTTATAATATAAAATTTTTTCAATTTAAGATGCCATTTTATAAGATCGGATCGGAAAATCTTATAATATCGGACTATAGGTGAAATGTCGGCCCGGTCCGATAAAAAACATCGGTACATCTCTATATTTTTTTAATTAGTTATGGTAAAATATTCATCCCTTCATCTAATTCTCAAATTTAATTTTTAATAGAAAATTTTATTAACAAAAACCATAATTACCTTTATTATGAACAAATAATTGATAAACATCCATCATCGAATAAAGGAGAAACCCAATCCCCCGTCACAGGGGTCTGAATGTGATATCCATAATCAAGATGAATAAAAACTAAAAATAGTTTCATTTTAAAATAAAGTATTTATGGCAGCGAGAAATACTTTAAAAACAATGATTAAATAAATTAAACAGATGCAATTAAGCAAAATCACTGTTTAAAAAAAGGATCCAATAAATTGAAAAATAATTAACCCAATTTAAAACATTGTATCCGATAACAAAAGCGGATATATCAATGGGTAAAAAAATTTAATAATATTGGAAGAAAAGTAAACAAATAAAAATGTATTACATTAGTTTCATTTAAAATATAGTATATTGTTATTTTATAATATGAGTCAGGGATAATGTTGTTAAACGGCTTTGTTTTAGCCAGAAAAATATTGTCTAGGCCTCGAGATTTCGTTAATAGATGTCCAAACCTTTGTGTCATCTGTAAACAAAATCTTTAGGCTTCCATAATAATTTTCTGAATAAAATAACGAGTTAGCCATTTTTAAAAATCGGCTTTTCAACACTAGTTAAGGTGAAGAAGAGCCTTTGCCTTCGGGCATGGGGGGGGCGGGATTCAAATCTGGTGGTTGGCGAAAAAGTATCTTTTTTCTCAAATCAAATCTTAATCTAAAACTAATTCCGAACTTATATTGGTCGAACCGAATCGCGGCTCGGCGGATATATCGAAAATGTAAGAAATTTAACATTAGGTTATATAAGTCTCCCTCAATTTTATATTATTAAGATGATAGGAAGTTGTTAGATAAAAATTAAATTAACAGAAGATGAAAAACGATTATTTATAGATACGGAGATTATTTCAATTCTGAAATATTTAATTTAAAATGAATTATTCAAGTTTTTTTATAAAGAGAAAGATAATTTTGCAAAGTGTGATTTGAAACATGATTTTATGAGGGTAAAATAAAAAATGTATTTATATCGAATCTATGCAAACATTTAGATGTATTAGAAAAATGAAAAAATATAAATAAGTTTAAATAAATAACTCCGATTTCAAAAAAACACGGACAACTATCAATGTATAGATTTCTAAAAATCAGATTTCAAAAAATTCCGACAGTAATTTCCAAATATATAGATGATTGCTACTCATCGCCAACCTTTTTAGATTATCCAAGGTAAAGACTTTAGATTATTATAATGTCTAAGTCCAAATTATAAAATAAGTAAGATGCAAATTATTATGCAAGTATCGATTGAGTTTCAATATATTTCAGATGAGTGAAAAATTAGTCGAATGTGAAAATGTAGTGAATCGATGCAGTCTTATTAACAATAAAAAAATTCTCTTATTATAAGCCTAAAAGGAGTCAAATAATAATTTTACTTTCGGTGTAGGTCTTATTAGTGATTAAGTGTTCGAACCCAGGAACCGAGGAGTAATTCATTTGCAGTGCGTATTCGAATGAGTTGCTGTCAGGGACTTGATTATTTTTCAGGTTGAGTGGAGGTATCAATAATCGATTGCCTTTGATGGTAACGGCGAAAGGGACAAGCCATATTCGTAAACGTAAGGGTTGAAATAACGGGCAACAAGGTGATAGGGTTTTAGAAATACATTCCTGATGAATAAAGTGGTGGATATGATATAAAAAAAATAAGTATACAATTTATTAATTTAGCAAAGTTTATTCTTTTAGATTTAAGGCGCGTAGCCAGCAAGTGATGTGGACTCAATTGATGATTACTATAAAATAATTATTTTTATTCCAATTATGGATACATTTTAATTCAAATCAATGAACAATTTGTGATTCATTATATGGCTCAATCTAATTTACAATTACTATTACCGGAATCCTTATAAAAATATATTAAATCTTGATATTGAAAATTGAAATATTTAGCTCATTTTTATTTGAAGAATATAAATGTAGAAAGACAATTGATTTTTGAGTTTAGCAGGAGTTTATTTTAGTAAATATTGCTCAAAGAAACGTCATGGAGGCATTGCATATTTTTTAAAAAATGGAGCTTTTCCCATTATATATTTTGGCATACCAATTATATAAGTACATATGAGAGGACCTTTTCTTCATTATGGAGAATAAAAACCTATCTCAGAAGTACGAAATCAGAAAATCGATTGAATGGACTAGCTCTTCTTAATGTACATAGAAATTTAATACCCAATATAAAATAACCTATTGAAAAATTTGAGCAATCGCATAGGAGATTAAATTTCCATTTATGAACGATATTTGGTATTTAAATATATACTTATGTTTAACTTTATTCTACTGCGAGTATGAAAAGGGCCTTCATCTTATGATCTTTATTATGGCTGATTAATCTGTCAAATTTAATGTTCATAAATATTAATCGATCTGCGATATCGGAATGGATTCCTTATCCATGTATCAAAATATGAAAAAATCATATGGGCGAATAAAATCTTTTTAAACAAAAATATAGGCCAAAGAAAACAAAGAATATTTATATATTTAAATTTGTAGAGATATCGGTGGTATCATATTTGTTATATTGGTTTTAAAATCTATTAAAAATAGAGAATTTAATCATATTCGTAATAAAATAAATCGATTTTATATATAATTTTTTTGATAACATAAAAAATTGCAGACCCTCCACCCATCCCTGGCATGTTTCTTAGCAATATATAATTGGCTAGAACTTTTATCATTATTTAAATTTTTTTTAAAATTTACATATGATGTTGTGGTAACTAGACAACCAACTATTATGTTATTGTAAACATCTTTTAACGACCAAATGCTGTTTTATTTTGTTATTAAGAAAGATATTAACACATTGTTCTCAACATCGATATTTTTGTTGTGTGAGCCTGTTTATAACCTTCAGATTGGCTGTAGAGAATGTACATATTATTTTATTCCACCTTTTATATCGAATTTTACGCGATGTGAATGGCTGTAAAAAGATATACATACGTAATTTTATTAAATGACGCTTTTTCAGGTATTATTATTTTTTGAATAAAGAAGCGTATTTTCTTTTCATCTTATTATAATAATATTTAGGGATGTACCGATATTTTATTTCGGATCGGGCCGATATTTCGCCCATTTTAAAATATCGGTTATCGAATATTATAAAATTTTTCGATCTGATCCGATATAAAATGGCGCTTTTAACAAAATTTAAAAAAAAGTTAAAACCATTTATTTTTATTAATAAAATCGAAACATATTTTTATGTTTAATTTTTTTAATAGTAATAATTAGTTAATAAACATTCTGCAATATAGTTATTCTTTTCGCATTCTGTTTAAAAAGTGTTCATTAATCTCTTCAGAATCTGTTTTTAGTGATGCTAGTGATATTAACAGATAAATTGGAAATTTCGGTATTTCTAAAAAGAAATCTTCGATATATTAATTTCAAATTTCATAATATATTTGTTTATTAATTATGTAAATTAATGTTATTACTTATTATCAGAGTTGTTAAGGAGCGGCGCTACATTTTTTTAAAAACCCCTTCCTTTTAATATTGAAAATTTTTTGGAAAATCATGTAAGTCATATTAATATTCATTTTATAGATATATAATAAAAATTAGTTTTCGATATTATGGATTTAGAGATCATAGATGAACATTTTCATCATACAAATAATATATTAAACTTCTAAAAATGTTAATCCAAATTTAAGGGCAAGATGTCTTTTGTGTTTAAATAAAACTATTTAATTTTCAAAAGTGAGCAGCTTCAAATCTTTCATTTGAATACAAATAGATTTAAGATTTTTTTGAAGATAAATTCCCTGAATTAATATCTTTATAAAATACAATACCCCGCTTCCCTCTAGTGCTCCTATGGAATGCCTAATTAGTATTGCAAAACAGGTCTTAGGGGAGAAGTGTGGATGTTTGTTAGATTCTAATTTAAAAATTTATTACTTTTAAAAGCTAAAAGTTATAAATATTTTGATAGATTATTTAATAAAATAAAACTTTTTGATAAAAAAAAATATGATTTTGTTTTGTATACCTTCTAAAAAATGAAAATCAAAGGAGCGGTTATGGAGTGGCACTCCATTACTTGGAGCGGGAGCTAGCTCCTTTTGAGAAGGTAGGAGCGGGAGCTAGCTACTTTTAAAAAGGAGCGTTAACAACTCTGCTTATTATATAAATAGCAATTGAATTGAATATAAACTATAACTGATCATTATAATATATTTAAATTTAAAAATTTAAACCGGATCTTTACAGAATACAAAATTAGATATGATATCGGATCGGCCTCCAAAAAGTGGTATCGGTACACCCCTAATAATATTTTAAGGATTTAATACATTAAAATTAGGTTACCTGGATATATTAAATAAAGGAAAAATCTTATTATTAGAATGTTTCGATTCCTTGTATTACTATAACTAACTTTCTTAATGATAGTGTCACATCCCTCTAACTCTTCTCTATCCTCCCCACCTCTGAGCTTCTCACCTATTTCACCTGAGCTTTTTTTATCTTACATTCACAGGCTTATTAGACATGTTGGCCATAAATCAGAGATGATGATACTCGAGGTATCGACCAGTATCGGTCGATACTATTAATTTTAACCGACACTCATAAATGCTAGTTAACGATCATAATTATTTTTTCAAAAAACTTTTATCTACATTATGTTAAGAATTTATAAAAAATGCAAATAAATTTTTTAAATTGGTCAAAAAAAGGAAAGAATATGCAATAATAAAATAATGTTATATTTTTTTTTAGATTAACAAAACAATCGATTAGAGATCTGCAAAGCACAAACCACGAGCTGGGTAAATTAAAAAAAATATTTTAACAGGTCTGGCCGGATAAATCGCACATAAAAAGTTTTCAGGCCGGGCTAAACAATTTATACACATAAAATCAGGCAAAACCTTGATTTTTCGCAAAATTTTAATAGGTCATCTTGGGCATTAAAATTTTGATATATTTGGATTTCAAGCTAATATTTTGAATAATACTAAAAATAAATTACAATATGCTCATTTTTTTGTATTTTAAGAACTGTTTAACTTAAAAATACTAAATTTATGAATAATATACTGAATTCATAAAATAAACAAATTATTTATGACATGATTCTATTACAAATACAGATATCACACATAATTTATTTATAAAACGTTTGTTGTAGAAAGAAATAAATAGCCATAGAGTAGATATATAAGAGCTTAATTTACATTGGGAAAAAAATTAGATATAAGAATTAAAATGTGATAGTCGGAAAATTTGCACAAAAAAATTTAATGGGCTTATAGTGGACCTTTCGTAAAATTGTAATAAAAAATTATAACAAACCAGGTCGGGCTTTGCAGATCTCTATAATCGATACTGGGCCTATTCAAAAACGAATACGAATCAAACATTGCATTATTCATATTCAATTTGTTTATACGAATCTAATATTACCATTCGTATATATATATACGAATAAAAAAATAATCATATGCACTCAACTAGAATTATTCGTTTTTTTTTAATATTATATAATAATATTAAATAATATTGACACATTTTTTTACTGCCTGATTTATAACAAACAATCTGACAAAAAAGGTCAGGTTATTACAATAGAAATAACAAATAATTAAATTTTATTAAAAATGTATTAATAATTCCGAAAAATTTGACTTGAATATTCGAAAAAATGAATTATTCGTTGAATATAAATTAGAATCGAATATTCCTCAAATGTTGGATTCGAATTAATTCGTTTTATTCAAATCGAATTTGTTTTCGTATTAAATAAACGAATAATTTACTATTTATATTCGTTAATATTCGATTCATTTTTGAATAGGCCTAATCGATGGAAATATAAGCTGTGATTTATTAATTATGAATGCTTATTATTCTTCAATAGAATTTTATTTCATATTGTATAATATAAAAATTGCAAATCATAAAATGAGATGGTATGTATTTGCGAAATAAATTGCAACTTTTATATTTTACATTATTTTTTACTTTTGAATTTTATTGCTTGCTAGGATATAGAATTAACAATTCTTTTATAGCGAGAATTTTGTAATATATCTTTAGAAAACATGTCATAAAATATTTAATATTAATTGAATACATAAAAACTATAAAATTTACATATTTATATTACGTAAATTAACCCTTCAAAGCATATGTGGTACAATGCAGAAACCAGTTATTAAAAAATGTTATTACTTAAAAAATTTTCTAAATTTTTGTTTGCATCTTAGTAACTTAATATTTTTATAAAGTATGTAAGTATGGGCACACAATGAGAAGGCCTATGAACTACATAGGAAATAAGGTTGAGAGTTTGGAAGTGATGGGCAAACGTAAAAGAGGAAGGCCAAAACTTCAATGGGGCCATAAAGTTAGAGCCAATATAAAGAAGTATAAATTAGATAAAAGAGATTGTATGAATAACATAAAGTGGAGAGAGATGTTGAAGGAGCTTACCACCAAAAAAAGTGAAAGCTAACGAGAAAAAAAAATGTAAGTTGAAAATTAATTTTGATTTTGCTCGGTAATTTATTAGTTATAATGGTTTTCTGGAGCTTGGGATTCATAGACACCACCTGACCATCCATGTAACTTTTTTCCTTATCTGTTTTAGAATATTAAGCATAAATAAATATTTCTTATACATAATACTATTTGAATCTAAAATAAACATTCTACATTATTAATTTCGTTCATATATATTTTTTATATCATATTATTACATTTTAAAATAATTTGTCCCTTTTTTGACACTTGTGGCAAAAGCTGTCATAAAATTTTAAAATAACATTTAAAGTCACTTTATTAGAGTTTGTTTAATATATGTTCAAAATATATAAAATTAATGCGCATCTAAATTGGGATCCGAGAGAACCTCACCTAGATTTTCGTGTGTATTTTTTCACATGTGCTATGAAGGGCTAAGGTTAAATTACTTGAAACATTTTCCAAAGAATTAAAAAATTAATCTTTATTAATTTGAGCAAAAAATAGATACCAAGTTATTTTAAAAGTTGCATGTTGTCATATATTTTTTTAATATATTTATGCCCAATGGTAATAGTTTTAAAAAAAAATTATCTTTACATATAATAGTATTTTTTAACACGTGTTATGGATGTGCTTTTAAAAAATATTAACAATGAGTGGGCTGTGTAAGCGATTTTTTGGGCAAATGCCGGGCAGGTTTATATTTTATAATGGAATAGGCCATGTGAGCTTAATTTGATTAAAATCAATTTTTTAATATAACAACAGGCAAGAGAATTTAACCTTTTTAACCGAGGAGAAGTTTTTTGCCTTCAAAACCATGAGAGAGCGGGTAAAAATTTTTTAAGATTTATGGGTTAACATCTACCCTTTGTGAACCTTTAACGTAATGGGTCATTCCATGTCAAATCAATCACTTTTCGGTCGACCCCTTTCGATTTCGATAAAAAATCGTAGGCTGGTTATACATGTTCCCATTAGATTATAAACAAAATTTTAGCGCATTAGCAACTATATTAACCGAAATATTCGGGGTTAAAGGTCCAAAAAACGTCTTTTTTGCTTTTTATTGATGCTATCAAATATTGAATCTAATATCAATAGCTAAGTTAATAATTGATGATTATGGCGAAAACATCAAAATTAATTTTTGATAAAATATGTTATGGTCAGTTTAAAACTTGAAATGAATATTTCGAAATGTATATGATTTCTGATTTTTAATTTTTTTAAGAAATATTATCCGTTTACTATTTTTTAATAATTTATACAACAATTAGCATGGCTGGATATTTATTTATAAAAATATTGCGATTTTTATTCTTTAAAAAAATAGATGGCGCTATATAATAGTTTTAATATGTTAAAAATTTTTTTTATTGATTAAAAATATTTTAATGTATATATATATATATCATACTAAATCGATTACAATGTGCATTATAATATATTTATTTGTAATTCAGATCATGAAATTTTTAAAATCTTCACAAATTTTGCTTAATTAAGATAGTTTATAAATTAATTAAATCTTACTTCATCTAAAGGAATACGAAGCCTGGCTAGCTTGTGAGATTTCTTCAAGAGATAATATATATGTTCGACTGGTGGGAGTGGAAGGATTGACCAGCGAGAGAATATGAGATTTAGGCAACACTAAAATATCATCTTTCAGAGGAAATTTAAATGAGGCTGAAGGTCCACAAGGGTGTAAAAATCAAATCATTACTTCTTCATTGTATCATTTTCGATTGTATATCCTAACCACCATTTATTATCATATACACATGTTATATATCCATTAATGTTTTAAAATATAATTTTCTCATTTAAAAACGAAACTTGTTTTATATTATATTTTTTGGAATTAGAATATATTTTGGTTTTTAGTCTATTTTGATCAATGGGAATAACCCCGTGAATTTGTTGGGTCCCATGTATGGGCAGTGCAGAATTAAATCTTTTACGAAGGGCTAATTCCTCTTCGATATATTCTTGATTGGATATATATTCAAATTGAATTATATTAATATTTTCTTCAGCATAATTATATAATTCTAATGGAGTTAGGATTTGATTTTTATTTGGCATTTGAGGACTAACTCTGGCAACTAATCTTTTGACAGTTCCTCCAATACTATCACATGCATTTTTGCCGTGAGCAGTAGCAAAGAAATGCCATTCGGCAGAAATATTAAAATCGTATTTATGAAGGCATATGTTCAGAAAATTTTTGCGATTCTTGTATTGAGACGCGGCTTTATCTGAAAAATATATTATTTTTTTCTGGTTTAGATTTAAATTTGGCTGTTAAGAAATTAATAAAAATTTTTTGATAAAGGTGGGCTGCACTAGTATTATGGCTTAATGATTCGGATAAAATAACAAAATTTATATTTTTTAATTCTTCTCCAGATTTATAATATACTACAAATGGATGTATAGTGGCCTGCACGTTGTTCCAATGAAATTCCTGAACTTCATCTTGTAAAATGAAGGAATAATTCTCAGAATAATCTAGAATTGTTAAAAATTCCCCATCTTTTAAATTTTCTTTGGAATTCTTCAAAAATAAACTTTGTGTTAAGCTATAAACGAGTGATGCAGTAAAATTTGAACTTTTTCTAATAGATATTCGATGAAATCATCAATGGACTTTATAATAGTTTCAAGATTTGCTCTATCCACCGTCATTGTTTAAATGTGACATATTCTATATGATTTCTCTGAAACAAGTATAATTGGCCCCTAAGAGATTCTATACCAGGGCATTGATCACAATTTGTTAAATAACATTTTGGCTGAGATGGATTACAAATAATTTGCGCCAAAAGATAGTTATAAGAATTTATACAGTATTCTTCTCCTGCATTTCAACTATTACATTTGTCATTAATTTCACATTCTGATTGGCGCAGACACAAACAGTGTGTGTGCCACTAGCTCCAACTTAAAATACAATTTTTTGGTCTAAGTTCGGCAAATTTAGAGAATCCAATTGATATATTTGGGTATTCTTCCTTAAACATCTTGAATATTTCTTTAAGATTATATAATATAAGTCTTTGGACTGATTCTTTCTCGCCTTTAACAGATACACAATCTTTTATTCCAGGCATGAGTCGGTTTATTTCATCAGAACTATAATTTTGTTATTTTTATTGCTTAAAAATTTTTTCAAAATTATAGAAATTTTCTTTATCTCTGGCTATTTTAATAATCTAAGATAATGACAATTTCATAACATTTTTGGTCTTGATGGGTATGACTTAGTCTGGAGGGGGGGGTTTGGGTAGGCGTGGTAATTAATGTGATTTTCGATTTTTCCCTTAATAATTTTCCTGCACTCCTTTAATCCTGCTTTTTTGTTCGTGTGCTAGTCGGATTTTTTAATTATTTTTAATTTACATTGAATATTAAAAAAATTATTAAAATTTTTTATCCTGCGAATATCTCAGGGGAATAAGGTTTACAAAGTTATATAATCGAATTTTATGATATATTATACATTAAAATATTTTTAATCAATAAAAAAAAATGAAATTTAACATATTAAAACTATTATATATAGCGCCATCTATTTTTTAAAAGTTTTTTAAATAAATATCCAGCCATGCTAATTTTTGAAGAAATTATTAAAAAAAATAGTAAACGGGATAATATTTCTTAAAAAAATTAAAAATCGGAGATCATAGACATTTCGAAATATTAATTTCAAGTTTTCAACTGACCATAAGATGACCCATATTTTATCAAATAATTTTGATGGTCTCGCCATAATCATCAATTATTAACTTAGTTATTGATATTAGATTCAATATTTGATCAAAAAGCAAAAAAAGACGTTTTTTGGACCTTTAACCCCGATTATCTCTGCTAATATAGTTGCTAATGCGCTAAATTGTTGTTTATAAACTAATGGAAACATGTATAACCAGTCTACAACTTTTTATCGAAATTGAAAGGGGTCGGTCAAAAATCTCGATTTTTTTGCTCATTTGACATGGAATGACCCAAATATTTTATTTTATAATTAAAATTTTTTAATCTGTTTCAATATTTCAAAAGTATTTAAGAATTTCTTACATAATTGAAAAATTGATTATATGATATAATTTCATGATTTCTAACGTATTATTTTACCGATAAAAATAACATTAAGAATATTATAAAAAAAATACGTCGTCTATTATATCCACGAAGCGAAGCTCAAAATTATCGGCGTTGACTATCCATTTATCTATGTAAGATAATTCCCAAAATAATTTTTTCTTTTCTGTATTGTCCACGTTGATATCTTTCGATTTTTGCCTGGAGTTCATTGCTTCGTTTTGAACCACCTTAGTAGAAAAGTTTGGATAAAAAGTATCACAAAATTTCTCTAAATTTATTCTGGGTATGAGTTTTTTGTCGTAATCTTTCTCTCTTTCAGGAAATCTAAAAGGGTCGATGGGGAATGAATCTGGGTGGGGAAACAGGTTTATATTTTAATTAATTTTATTATTATAACGTCATCATAACGAAAAAGCATCTTTAGTAAATTTATCAGAAATAATCATTAATAAATTAACAAGAATCTTAATTTATAACTCCAATGCAAATAAAATTATATAAAGATATTTTCTACTTTCATTTTCCCCCCTAATTTTTTTAAATTAACATTCACTTCATAACCATTTTACCCAAATCTCTCCTTCCCAAACTAAATGTAAAAAAAATATATAAGGTGATACACGTATTTTTTAATTACCCATAGCTTCTTTAATCTTTTTAACGTAAGTTTTAAGACAAAATTTCTCCTCTATATTTTCGCGGTAACCAGAATTCCCGTATTTAGTTTCGGTTACGCAATTTGAGGATTTTATTTTAGCCTCATCATTCATATTGAAATTATGAATTATAATGATTTCGAAAAAAGCTTCAGCGTTGTAAGGACAATAGTCTTTACCGCATCGCAAAAAATTATCGTCATGGGATAGCATAATAATCTTTAAAAAAATAATGATTTTAAAATAAGTTTTTACTAATTTTTTTAAAAACAAAATAATTTAGAAAATGTAAAATTAATCATTTTATTTATGGGGAGTGTGCTGCCTCATGTCTCATGTGTGATAAATTACCTCTTGATAATTAAAGTTATTCAGGGATAGGAAAAAACAAAACGAAAAACGATTTTTTTATAAAAAAATATTTTAAAAACAACAGAAGAAAATAAGTAAAAAATGATACTAACATCGAGGTAACAATGGATATTTTTTAAAATATAGCTACCATTATTATATAGGAAAAATATTTCATTTTTTAAAACAAGCAAAAATATTATAAAATATTTTGGTAAGGGTTGGTCGATAATCAAAAGAAGGGCTCATTTCATTTACTGGATTTATAACATCATGAACTCAGAGTTATACTACTTGATGATGCTACCAATAGATTGTCTTTTTAAGATAAAATCGAATAGTTATTTAGATTTTTCTAACCCGTAGTGAAGGAATTATATTTTCAAAAAAAACGAACTGATACTTCCGTAGGCATATCTCCGGCTTTTATATTTAGGGAATCATTTTATAATTCTATTAACTTGAAGCTAAGTGAGACAGTAAAATTATTATTTGAAAAAATGGCTTTCATTTATGGTTAGCAATATTATGATCTTGGCATATCTTCTACCAAAAAAAATTGAAATCAGATTGACAGATATTCAAATAGCAGAATTAAGATCATTTCTTAAAGATAAAATTGGATCAGAGAATTTTCTATTGTTTAGGCTTAAATATTACCATATAGAACAACTGAAATAGTTGCCACCTCTATGGAAGGACGCGGAAATAATAAGTAAATAGTGTACCCCACTTTCAAAATTAAGTTCGTTTACTAAATTATCACATCTCCCGCGACCAGTGAGCGATGTTGATCTGTGATGTATATTCAGGGTGATTAATAGATGATCAAGTTAGACAAACTGATTTATATATATTTCAATGAAGGAATGTTCATGAATGTTTGATTGTCTATTATTTGCATTGTTAAATTGATTGTATTTTAAAATTTTACTTTTAAATGATTTTGAAAATAAAAAATTTACAATAAAATATTAATATTGTAGCAATTATTTCTTTTTTAAAAAACAAAAAATGAAAGGGGAAAAAAGTTTGTTTTTCTCCCTAAACGGGTTAATTACCAGAGTTGTTAAAGGATCTAGATCCAGTATCTAGATATAAAAATGTGGTATCTGTATTTGTATCTAGATAGATTTTTGATTAAAATAGCTGTATCTAGATATTATTTTAGACAATGTATCTGTATCATCCATTTAAAAAGTATCTTTTAACAACTCTGCTAATTACACTCAGTGAAAATTGATTATTTTTAACGAACTTTTCTCTAAACAAAAATAATTACAATATGTCACTTTAGATAATCGTAAAAAAATATCGGGGTAATTCCATGAACTATCAAAAAAGGGCTATTTTTGTGGATCTCCTTCAAATTGGATGAAACTTTGCATGATGATTATATGTGTTGTGAGGATCTATCCAATTTAATTTTTTAACGTCAATTCTATTACTTATGGAGATATTGCAGGTCATAACTAAAAAAATATAGCACCCTTCCTAATTATGAAAAACGGTAATAATAAAGATTACTCAAAAATATAAAAAGATCTATTTTCGGTATCATTAGATAGCCCTTGAATCCCTTACTTAACAATAATATATTTTCTTTTTTAAAAATCTCAGGTGTTTCTTCATTTCTGGAAAAGGTAAAGGTTAATTTTTTATGTAACTGAGTATAAAATTATCTAAAAATTGGTATGTGTTTATTAAATCAATACAAATTTATATTGAAAAAATTAGGTTGGAATAACCATTAATCTTTTAGTTATTTAATTTTTTCTAATTTTTTAACGATAAAAAAAGTCATGACAATGTTCCAAAATAATATAATTATTATTTTTTCTTAATGTGGCTGTAAGTGTGTAAGTATACGTTGCTGTTAGGAGACTTGTAATTCATACAATATTATTGACAGATGTACATAATTGATCTTCATTAAATAGAAAAATAAAGGATGGAGAGGTCCATGTGGATCAGGGACCCAAACCTTTATTTATAACGGTTCAATTTGGTTACGGTTAAGTAGATAAAAAATCATAATAGTTACGGTTCTTATAAAAATTTTATAAAGGTTCAGTTCAGCTAATTATAGAGGTTTATAAAGGTTCGTTGCGGTTATATATTTAAACTGATTTTTATTGAAGCAACACCATCATAAATAATTTTAATTAATAATAATGAATATAATTTATTAAAATTTTTCTATCATTTAAGTTAATATATTTTTATTTATAAAGATGTAATTAATTTATTTTTTATTATAATTATCTATGAATAATATGTAAAAAATATATAAGAATTTAACGTACAAGAATTTATTAATGTGTTTTTATACATTTTAACCCTGATCATAGATCTTAATGATAACAGAAATATTAGGGCTAGATTTCGATATTGATGGCAAAATAGATTTAGAAAGCTTTAATATCTTATAGTTAGGGATTCATGTTCTTTAAAATGGTGCCTTTGAATATATCCTTCAAAATGAGCTCCATGGTCACCTTTATGTATGATTTTGCACTAATTTATCTTTAAAATATATATACCCAAATGCCAAAATTGAATAAATAATATATAAAATCAAACCCTTATAAATTTGGTTATTTTGAAATTTATATACGGAAATAATGGCCTTTCTATCTAACTAATCAAGGGTAGGTGGTGATATTATACTCAGAACCCCCGAAATAAATTGCTAAACAGTTATAAATTATATAAATATCTGTACCGTAACTGAACAGATATAATAATTTTTTGGAGTAAAAAGAATCTTTATAAATGCGGTAACCAGGTTGAATGGGTTTCAACCATAATAAAATAAATAATTTTACATTTTTTTCGTTTACATTCTTTTCCTTATGGTATTAAATATTTCACTATATCCGCTTCGTTTTAAGGTATCAATCCATTTTCAATTATTAAATAATGAAAATATTTGTTTAATATCCATAAGTATGTATTAATTTTTTCACTGAATTAATTGATCCATAATCTATTAACTGATTTTTTCAATATTAAAGCCATATTGCTATTAACTCTATTTTTGTATACAAAATATAACTAATGAATTTGTAGATTTTTGATTTAGTTGCATTTCTTTAATTTCAAGTATAATATCATCATCTACCCTTGAGTAGTTAGACAGAAAGGCCATTATTCCTATATAAATCTGAAAATAACTAAATTTATAAGGTTTTAATTTTATATATTATTTATTGAATTTTGGCATTTGAGTATATTTTAATGCATTAGTATTGTTATAGCCTTTATTATGAAAAAATAGATTTTCTATTGTCTTGAAATGCAAGTATTTACAAAGTTGTTCTAATCTGTTTTTTATATCATTTCCTTGATGTGAGGAATTATAAATAATTAAATTTAATCCGTTTAATATTTTTTAATTCACATTTATTTTATAGTTTTTTATAGGACGGTTTATATATTTAATTTTTTATAATTCACATTAATTTAAAATTGTAATTAGAAATAGTTATTAGTCCTAATAAATTTATGCTTGATATTTTTAAATAACAATAATTTTATCTTAAAAAAATTTAATTATCCCCCACCCCCATAGAAAATATTTTTTTTAAAAAATTAAATAATTTTAAGGTATTAAAGGGCTATTTAATGGTACTAAATATAGGTCTTTATTATTTATATTTTTTGTGTAATCTTTATTTTTATCGGCTTTTCCGAATTAGGAAAGACGCTATTTTTCAGGTTTGGCCCGCCATATCTTCGGAACTAATTGAGTTAGCTCTAAAAATAGAATTGTATAGATCATCACAACATATAGAATAATTATGAAAGGTTTCCTTCGATTTGAAAGAGGTCCACAAAGCCTGATCGATTTCACGTGGAATAACCCTGACACATCCCAAACCTTGGGAATTACCTAACAAAAAAATCTTGAAATATAAATTTGGTCATTTCATTTCATAATAAATTTTGATACAAGAATATAATATTAAATTGAAGTTACTTTTGGATTTTTGACTTTTATATATGTATCGGTATGGTATCTAACTTCGAACGAATAAGAATTCTTATATAAGGGAGTTTTAAAAAAATAAAACAAATTTTTAAAATGGTTTATTAACTGCAAAAAAAGGAGTTTAGATAACTTATTCATTTACAGATCTTATGTATAAATATTTTTTGCATGATTTCTTTTCCTTCTTTCTTTTTTCCTATTATATCATCATTCCTAATTGAGATATTAAACTACATAAAGATTGGATAAGGTACCCATAGAGATGACGCAGATATTACTAATGGACAAATCCAAGCCAAACTGTCATAATGGCATATGAATCGCAAAGCTTGTGCCTCGCATATAACTGTCGAGTTGGGAACTAAAATTTTATTATATAATTTTATTTATTTTTTTTATGTATAATAATGAATAGAAATTAATTATAATATAATACTAATGAGGTATTTTAGAATACACAATAAAACTAAGAAGGTCTTGGAAAATTTATATTCTTTCCGGGTTCTAGGCTTCCCACTTCTAGCATTTTAGATCCCATATTGTTATTACAAAGAAGGTATATTGTAATTCAAAAAAAAGGATGCTAATAATAAGACTTACAATAAAATTAATTTAACAGACATTTCTTCTTTATTCTCTTACGATAAAAAATGATGTTAGGGGAAAAAAACGACCTGGCAAATTTTCGCAAAATACCAAATTATTGTTTCTCTTTGATACGGAGGTATTGTTAGTAACGCCATTTGGTGTTAGTTCAGTATAATGATAGAAATATTCGGAAAAATCGAGCAGAATGATCGGCAGCGGGGCATTTGTGACAGTGTTAATAAAAGGGGATTCGTCTAGAGGTTATATTTTTGAAAAAATGATATTTTGGTTAATGTATGTCAGAATTTAAAGAATTAATTTATTTGTGACTTGTTCAGAAATATTTAAAAAAAATTAAAATATTTAACATTTAATTTTACCATGATATAAAAGGACACCATTAAAGGGAGGAATGTCATAAAGAGATAAGTCTATTATCTTCAAACCTCCTAGAACCTTTATTACCAATCGTTTTTGAAATAGAGATCGTTTAGCCAATTGGATCTTTTCCCTTTATATAAATCGTAGATTTTATTCAGCGTATTGTAAATTTTAATCAGTTCATGTTTTTTCATTGAGGCTTGCCAATTATATTGGAGGTCAACGATTTCAAAGGTACTCGACTAACTTTTATTTAAATACTTGTTCCTAACAGTCTTATATAACTTAATAACTCTATCTAATAAATCTATCTATCTTTATTTTATCTATCTATTCATCTTTATCTATCTATCTATTATCTATCTATCTATCTATCTATCTATCTATCTATCTATCTATCTACCTATCCATCCATCTATCTATCTATTCATCCATCCCTATAATGTTATCATCATTTTTATCTCTTCCTTTTTTCTTAACTTATAATCAGGGTAGTAGGGAGCGCATCAGAGGCATGTCGTACCCCTGAAACATTCTCTAATTCAGGAGTCTATGTCTAAAACATACAAGTCAATTCACACTCAATTTATTTTGTTGATAGAATAAATGTTTCACTCTAGCATATTAAAAATTATGAATAATTCGTCAATATTTATATTACATTATCTTTAAATATGCTTAGACTTATTTCCTGTTCAATACATATTTATTAAGATGTGTTGCTTTTTAATGGTTAATAACATATGTATAGTTTGAAAGTAGCCTGAAAAAATATGAACTTCTGTAAAATCAATCATTACATTGAATTTTATATATATTTACTAGTGATAAGCAAGTTAAGCTATTTTTTTAACTATATAAATATCCTGCAGTTATTTTTAATCGTATCACGTCAATAACGCTTAACTTAACAAGAAATGTATTAAGGCGAATAGCGCAAAAAGATATTGTAGCAAATGCATTACAGCAAAAATAATGTCGCGAATCAATTACAGAGAAATGTTATCGCAAATACATTGTCGTGAATGCATTATCATGAATGCAATAGTGATTTATTTATATTTAACAAATGGTTAATATAATTAATATAAAGTATTAAAATTGCTTAGCTAACTTATAATAAGAAGTTATCAATTTATATATTTCTATTTTTTAAATATTTCGGAAACTATAATTATGTTACCTTTAAGGATGCCGGCCCCAATAATTTTTTTCCCCTGATCACTCTAAAGAAATTCTTTAAACTCTCTTCTGATATATTCTAACTAATTAAGCAAGTTCAAACCTTTTTCAATAACTAGAGACATTGCAAAGGCCTCATTTATAGTAAACGAGTATGTTTAAGCGGTGCATTATTTACAAAATTAAACCAAATAGATATAATATATATATGAAGCGTATAATGATAACGCTGATGCTAAAAATTTTTCTATAGGATTATGAAAATAATTATCTCTACTTTAGTCAGAGACCTGCAGAGGTACCATTTGCATGGCCCGGATTTTTTTTCAAAAATTTTTTTTGAGCCGGCTCTGCCTGGGTTTTATATTTTCAGGCCCGACCCGGATTCTTTTAAAATATACGGCCCGGTTCGTCCATTTTTTTTAAAAAAATTTTCAGACCTGGTCCGCCCCAAGTATATTTTAAAAAAATAAAATATAGCCAGGCCGGGTCGGGCTTAGGTCTGGACCTGCAAATCTTTGATTTTAGTATTATCTATCAAATTATCGCTGTGAAGAATCGGCGTGATTTGGATAGAGTAAATAATGCAACATTTGAACATAACGCAATCACTATAAATGGGGATTAATTGACGCTTTTATATTTACTTTGTGTATTAATATTTACTTAATATATATATGAATTCCATATTAAATCAACCCTGGTTTCAACCCAACCCCGAATTTTTTTAAATTTTGTATACTGGTAGTATAAAATAACTAAGAAGAAAATAAAATTTTACCTCCTTAAACCACTTACTCGCTAAGATATGGGCGTATAATGAGCATTTTTGACAAATGCACTTAATTAATTTTCAAATATCTCAAGATAAATTAAGTTAGAGAAATAATATAAATTTTTTATATAGCTTAATAATAGATCTTTAATATGATGTGATGGAAACTCAATTAATACCAAAAACCGGTAATAGAAAACCGTAAATGGCCATAGAAAAAAAGGTATTTTTCAAAATCTTATATTTGTACAAAATTCTAGACTGGGATGGATGTGTTTCTAGGAGACCCTATATATGGGTATAATTGATCAAATTTAAAATAAATATCATCATAATTAAATTTAATGGATAATTTTTATTTAAAAATAAAAATTTCTGAGTACCAATTATTTATTTGGCTCAATGTTTTAAATAAGAATTGCTTTTAGCGCCTTGAAAATTTAATTTCTTTCGACCGGAGCCAGACGCAAAATTTTTATTTATTTTTAGACCCGAGTCCAGCCAAATTTTATTTTAAGGCCTGAGCTTGTCCTGTCCCAAATTTAGTGAAAAAATATCATTAACAAATAAATAATATATAATTCATTTACCTTATTCCTAGAGAAAACATTCTATTTTATTGCTTAAAATCTTTTTTTATATATTTTGAGTCAAAAAAAATGAAACCAAATTTCCAAAAAATTGTTTTATAAGACCCAAGCCTAATTTAGGCTCATTTTCAGGTTTCACTCAGTAGGGCGATGATTATAAAAATGTAAATTTCATCAAACTGCATTCCCGATATTACAAATGATGTACTTGCGATGATGTATTCGCGCTGTTGCATTCACTCCACTATTTTCTTGATAATGCATTCGCGATAATGCTTTTGCGGTGATACCGCAATAACGCTTTCGAAGTAATACATTCGGATATTATTTTCGCTGTAATATATTCGCGCATTAAATATGTTATATTATATTATATTAGCGGTAGTGCATTAGCGGATATAACTCTTCGCAATAATACGTAACATAATATTTAATTTTATCCTCACCCCCTCCGCCATCTTATTTCCCAAAAAACTTCACCATACTTCTTTGCCCTGTCATCTTTATTCGCTATATAATTTCTCCCCTCCATCGATATTACATTTTATCTTATTACCTAGATCATCCTAACCCCCCCCCCCTCCAGAATTATCGTATATCACCTCATACTTTACCCTTTATCAATAATCCATAATGAATGATTCTAATAAGTTTGGTATTGCAGAAAGACAATATTTTGTAGCAACTAAGAATAAAGTTTGGCAGGCACCCCTGAGACAAAAAATACAAATTGAAATATTTAAATATAATTGCTGCGCGTTTTTAGGACTCAATTATGTTTTTCATAATTGTGCACCTCCCCTCACTTTATTTTGTATTTTAGATGGTTTTTTATATAGTATATATATGAATAATTTTTAATTGTTAATATCTATATTTGAAATATTTGAATAAAGATGCTAATTATTCTAAAAAAATCTAAAACAAATAACAAATTGTTCGATCATAAGAATAGCTAATTATTGGGTTGGATATATTTGGGGGCCTAAAACTTGTACATTAATTTTTAAGGTGCTGTTTCCTATAAAATCTGTCATCCATTTCAACCTTGTTCACTTTTCATAAGTCAGCAGCTTATAATAACTTATATTGGGAAATGGAGCATCATTTGCACGATAAAGATAAGAAATTTATTCAGAAAGTAACTAACTCATTGTGCTGCAAAAAATTGCCCATTTTGTCCCAGTAAGTTTGAAGGCAATGTTGATAGATACAGTTGGTATGGGATTTTTGTAAATAGATATCCGTTTGGTTCTCCATGCCTAGTTTTGTTATGTAAAAATAAATATTTATTTATAATCATTACTAAATAAATTTTATTAACGTGCGTTCTTTAATTTGTTTTCTGCAACTTTTTTTTCAATTATAATAAAATGAGGAAGGGGGGTCAAAAGTAGAAAAAAAATTATTACCGAAGGAATGTTTGGGGTAAAAGTCTAAGTGCAAACTTTCCACCACGACCTGAAGAGACTTCAATTCTTCATTCTTAACTTTTACCCTAGGGTTGGTAATTGATAAAATCTGTGGTTGGGTTTGGCAAAGGTGAAAATCAATTTTGTTGATAAAGAGCTGAGTGAATTCTTCAGTTACACAATGTTCCAAGAAAGACGCGTATTTTTCGGGAGTGATTTGGTTGTTAGCGAGCGATTTACTTAGCAAGGGAATCAAAAGAGGGTTCGGATTGGAAGGCTTATATTATGTTTTTTGTATTATTAATAACGTTTTCCAGAATTTATATTTTAATAATAATATTGGAAATCGTTGCTTTAACCATTATAAAAGATGGCCCCTATTTAAATTTAAAAAAAGAATGTAGATTACATGATTTTTATTTTATTTGATTTATAAATTTATTTCATAAAAATCTATATTAAATATTAATATTTATTAGAGCTGTCGACGTTACTCAAAAAAGTAATGTCGTTAAATTTCGCGTTACTTTGATTAAATTTTAAGTTACTCTGAAAAAATATTAGCGTCATTACATAAACTTTTTACGTCAGTATGTAGATATTTTAAAAGCAACGCCGTTACTTTACCATTGTAAGAATATTGAATAAATTGAATTCCTTTTATTTCATCAATAGATGTATATTTAATACACAAATCCCAAAATTCAAATAAAAAAATAATTGGACAGATTTTTTTACATGTTGATATTATTTTTTAAAAAATCGTTCTTCCATACTGTGTTTACTGTACTTAATTCCCGTTCAGTGGTGAGGCTAGGGTGTGTATATATATATATATACAGGTTTTAATGATTGGAAATTATTAAAGTTTTCTTCTCTAAATATGTAACTTTTACCTAGAAGAATTTTGAGATTTGATCTTTCGAATAGTAGAACATATCTTCACCATAAAAGGGGTCTTTCCTTATCTTGAGAATGTGTCTTGCATTAATACACCATACACTTTTTTCAAAAAAGAAACCGTATACAGTTTCTTTTACATATTCGGCCTGGATTTCTGTTTAAACACACTTTAGCCTTACTCTAGTCTTTCAAGTAGTGCGCTGAAGCCAAGTTGTTTAAAGTAACGCGCTACTTTTTAGTAAAGGTTGCTAATAGCACGTTGCATTTAAAAGGTAGCACGCCCCTTTTTAGAAAATAGATAAGTAGCGCGTTACTTCTCAACTTTAAATTTTTTATATAATAAATACTGTAAAAAAATTTTTAAACTTAATTTCGAAATTGATATTTCAAAATCTGCACCAGATGTATCATAAAAATTAACTGATAAGATCATAATTAATTTTATAATTAACATAGTTGGATAATTTGAAGAAATAAAAGGGTTTTTAATATTAGATCTATAAGTAGCATCTGTAGACAGGCGCGTAACCAATGGGGTGGAAAGGGGGAAATCCCCCCCCCATCACACATTTGACCGTTTTCATAAATATCATCTTAAAAAATTTAATCCCCCCCCCCCTCCCCAATCAAAATTTTACAAATATTTGAATATCAATTTTCCAACATAAAACTTATTTTTTATAAATAAATTTTATTAAAATTTCCTTTCCTTATGAGTATACATTAACATTATTCAAAAATATTAATAAAATGGGAAAAATTTTAGTCAAAGAGATTAAAATCAAACGGTAATTTTTTTATTATTATATATAATTATTTTATTAAATTCAAAATTATTTGTGAGATAGAATTAATAATATTTTAATTATTAATAAATATCTAAATATTTTTCAGTTTTACTTCCATTTTATAGAACAGAAGAAATACAAAAATTAAATAAGGCTGAGCATGAAAAAAAGTAATGTGTAGTCAGAAGCGATATCATTATTGAATTCAATTGATCAATCAGAGTTTATCATTGCTGCTAGTTGCATCAATAAATTTTTCCTATAACTCACTACTTTGTAAAAATTTACAAAAACCAAATTTAGATTTGGTTCAGGTTATTGATTTGGCGGAAAATATATATGAACAGGTAGATACACTAAGAATGAATGTAGATGAATATTTTTATAATATTTATCTAGATGTTAAATCGAAGGCTTATGATATAACACTAATTAAACCTCGTCTAGCATCTAGGCAATTATTGAGATGTAAAATAAATATTGGTTCAACTGAAGAATATTGTAAAATATCCATTTTCATCCCATTCCTTGATACTTTGTTATCGCAAATAAAAGCACGGTTTTTAGATAAAAAACAAGTCTTTATAGCATTCAAGTTTTATTACCCAAAGATCCTTCTTCGTTTTTTAATGCCACTATTGCTAAAATTAAATATTTAGCAAAATTTTATTCCTATGATATTGATACTGAAATAAATTTAATCAGTGAATTCGAATTGTGGTATAAATATTTACTACGTTTAACTATTTTACCTGAGCATGCTTTTGATGCGCTCAATCGGTGTAAAGAAACCTTGGCTCAATTTCCTCATATTTTGAAGTTGTTTTATATTCTTGCATGTTTGCCTATTACAACATGTACGAATGTAAGGACTTTATCAAAAGGTTGAAAACATATTTACCAAGTACAACTTCCGAATCTCAGCTAAATAATTTTGCTCTGTTAAATATCCACAGAGATTTGGTTCCAACAACAAACATCTTGATGAATTGGCAACATTCCCACGAAAATTAAAATCATATTATAATTATAGTATTTAATAAAAAAATTTGTATAATATTTGTATTTGATAAGAAGTTAAAACTTGTTTTTTAAATTATTTTCTAGTCAATATTTTGTACACACTAATATTAGTATTTTCAATAAAAAAATCATATTCTACTTATATTGTATGAAAACTTAAGCTGAGGCTAGTTTTCAAAGCAAATAAAAAAAATGACATTAAACTTTATTTCAACTTTACATTTAAAAAAACTTATTAAATATAATATACCTAACTTAAAATAATAAAAAATAAGCTTGTAATATCCATAAGCACGAATTAGTAAATAATAGTTAAAAATATAAATATAATTATGATTAAATTATGAATAATTCAATAGAATAGATAAAACATAAGACCGACCGAAGGCTGGGGGAAAGCTGGCCGATGGCCAGGTAAAGGGGGTTTGGGGGCAAAGGCCCCAAAAATTTTCCCCCTCCCCATAAGAAAATCCTGGATACATCACTGTCTGTATAATATTGTTAGGACTCATGAAGGTAAAATAAAGTATTTATGATTTGATCTTATATTAACTTTTGGATCCAAAAAGCAATTAAAAATACTCAAATTAAAATTTTTAATTTAAATACCGCAATCTCAAGTGCTACTGTTGAGCAATTTAGTAAGTCAAAACTTAGACTTTTTAATCGCCAAGCCACCCTAGACGGATCATAATATAAAGATGATTATATTATCAAAATGTAATAAAAATAAATATTGCATACATTCTATATTTTTAGTAATATTTTAAATATTTGAATTTAAAATATTAATAAAAAATGTATCAAAAAATTTTTTTATAAAAGAGAAAAAAAGTAGCAAAGTTACTTTTTTAGAAAGCTAGCTAATAGCGCACTACTTTTCTGCCAAGTAGCGTTGGAAGTAACATCTAACAACACTAGCTGGAAGGTAGTGTAGTTAGCATACTTTATGAATAACTTAACAGTAAGTAAAATTACGATACTCATTTTAATATTCAAAGTTTTATGTATTAATTTAACTCTTTATGCATATCCTCTTGGGGCTGTTAAAAAAAATATTATATCTTTTTATGTTTTCTGCCATTTTTATGATTTGTAAACTTTGAAAGTTCATTGGTTAATTGCTATGTCAATTTGTTTTTTTATTTAAATTTTCTAGCATTTGAAGCCAAGTTTAATCAAGTTTGAAAAATTTTCTGAATCTGTGTTGATTGCTTCTTCTTCATCCGTATCACTAATCAATTATTAAAATTTGTATAAGATATAAGGATTATTATTAATATCATATTTTGTCGTCTATTGTGCAAAATAAAACTTGACTTGAATGGAAGGAAATAAACTTGGACAGATATTTAAGAAATTTACAAAAAATAGAATTAAAAATATTTTAATATTAAAAAAAAGTAAAATAAATATTTAAAAATATATCTATAACTTGAACCTTGCCTATTTTTCTTATAGGAAATTCACGAAAATTTGAACAAGTTATTTATGATAAGATCCAATTACAAATAAAAATATCAAAATACAATTGGTTTATAAAACGATTGTTATAGAAATAGAAAGCCATATAGGGGGATTCCATTATAAGTCGACCAAAATATCGTGATTTTTGGACGGCCACTTTTAAATAGATGAAACTTGGCATGAAGGTTAAATAGATTGTATGTTTCATACAAATCAAAATTTTAATGCTCTAGCTCAGATATAGCTCGAGTTATGGACCTTCTAAGTTCGATGGGAGTCTTTTCCTCTTTTAGCGAATTTCAAATTACTTAAAATATTTTTGGTCTAAAGTAATAAATTATATATCACTAATATTAAATAAAATATTGAAATTGAAATAAAACAAAATCCTTAATTGACATTGGGAAAAATTAGATAGACATTAAAAATATGCTAGCCAAAAATCCATTTAAAAAAAAAGGTCCAGGCCCAACTTATAAAATTTTAAATGGCCGGGCCAGGAAAACAATAAAAAATATCGGGCCTGACCGGGCTGGACAAACATTTAAATAAAGAGCCAGCTGCAAAAAATTTTAATGAACTTTCTTAACAATTTAAATTTTTTTTCTTTTTACCGAAAATAAAAAAACCTTGGAGTTTATAATTTTTTTATATTTTCCAAAATGTGGAATTTTAAGGGCTATAAAATGATATAAAATTTGTGACTCTATCTTAAGTATTATTTTAAATGATTACGCGATTTCTACTTTGAAAACGTATATCTAGTGTTTGCAATGGTACGGTCCAGGTGGTCTCATCAGACTATTGGGTCCCACGGAACGATCCGACCCGACCGGGAAAGAAAATAAAAGTTTGCTATACTATGTATTTCTTTTTAGTTAATGTGCATGTGCATGTGCATGAACATATAAAACATGATTATTTAATGCCTAACACTATAATATCTCATTCATCTTTTACTTTTTATATTCTTCCGTTTCATTCAATTCAATTCATTCGTCGTCAAGTAATATAATTTAGTAGGGTAGGTAGTATTATATTTTTATTTTAAGAAATGGATATTGAAATCATAGAGGTTTATAAAACTATTGAACCA